ATCTGCTGCCGGCCCCTATATACCGCCTCCTCATGCTGCTGCCAAGTCCAGAGTCTCTCATGGGTCCCTGTACGGCCTCCCATTGCTGCTGTCTCCATCGCCACACTCTGCCATGTGCCACTTTCAGGTCTCTTCACACACTGCTGGTGTGTTGAATTTTTTGACACATAGGGTGCTGGCAGATTACGGGCCTCCCATAGCTGCTGCCAGGCCCCTAATCTGCCATGGGCCCCTATATACCGCCTCCTCATGCTGCTGCCAAGTCCAGAGTCTCTCATGGGTCCCTGTACGGCCTCCCATTGCTGCTGTCTCCATCGCCACACTCTGCCATGTGCCACTTTCAGGTCTCCTCACACACTGCTGGTGTGTTGAATTTTTTGACATAGGGTGCTGGCAGATTACGGGCCTCCCATAGCTGCTGCCAGGCCCCTAATCTGCCATGGGCCCCTATATACCGCCCTCATGCTGCTGCCAAGTCCAGAGTCTCTCATGGGTCCCTGTACGGCCTCCCATTGCTGCTGCCTCTCCATCGCCACACTCTGCCACCATGCCCACACTTTCATGGCCACTTTCAGGTCTCTCTCACACATGCTGGTGTGTTGAATTTTTTGACATAGGGTGCTGGCAGATTACGGGCCTCCCATAGCTGCTGCCAGGCCCCTAATCTGCCATGGGCCCCTATATACCGCCTCCTCATGCTGCTGCCAAGTCCAGAGTCTCTCATGGGTCCCTGTACGGCCTCCCATTGCTGCTGTCTCCATCGCCACACTCTGCCATGTGCCACTTTCAGGTCTCTCTCACACTGCTGTGTTTGTTTTTTTTTGACATAGGGTGCTGGCAGATTACGGGCCTCCATAGCTGCTGCCAGGCCCCTAATCTGCCATGGGCCCCTATATACCGCCTCCTCATGCTGCTGCCAAGTCCAGAGTCTCTCATGGGTCCCTGTACGGCCTCCCATTGCTGCTGTCTCCATCGCCACACTCTGCCATGTGCCACTTTCAGGTCTCCTCACACACTGCTGGTGTGTTGAATTTTTTGACATAGGGTGCTGGCAGATTACGCCTCCCATAGCTGCTGCCAGGCCCCTAATCTGCCATGGGCCCCTATATACCGCCTCCTCATGCTGCTGCCAAGTCCAGAGTCTCTCATGGGTCCCTGTACGGCCTCCCATTGCTGCTGTCTGTCTCCATCGCCACACTCTGCCATGTGCCACATTTCAGGTCTCTTCACACTGCTGCTGTGTTTGAATTTTTTGACATAGGGTGCTGGCAGATTACGGGCCTCCCATAGCTGCTGCCAGGCCCCTAATCTGCCATGGGCCCCTATATACCGCCTCCTCATGCTGCTGCCAAGTCCAGAGTCTCTCATGGGTCCCTGTACGGCCTCCCATTGCTGCTGTCTCCATCGCCACACTCTGCCATGTGCCACTTTCAGGTCTCCTCACACACTGCTGGTGTGTTGAATTTTTTGACATAGGGTGCTGGCAGATTACGGGCCTCCCATAGCTGCTGCCAGGCCCCTAATCTGCCATGGGCCCCTATATACCGCCTCCCTCATGCTGCTGCCAAGTCCAGAGTCTCTCATGGGTCCCTGTACGGCCTCCCATTGCTGCTGTCTCCATCGCCACACTCTGCCATGTGCCACTTTCAGGTCTCTTCACACTGCTGGTGTGTTGAATTTTTTGACATAGGGTGCTGGCAGATTACGGGCCTCCCATAGCTGCTGCCAGGCCCCTAATCTGCCATGGGCCCCTATATACCGCCTCCTCATGCTGCTGCCAAGTCCAGAGTCTCTCATGGGTCCCTGTACGGCCTCCCATTGCTGCTGTCTCCATCGCCACACTCTGCCATGTGCCACTTTCAGGTCTCCTCACACACTGCTGTGTGTGTTGAATTTTTTTTTTGACATAGGGTGCTGGCAGATTACGGGCCTCCCATAGCTGCTGCCAGGCCCCCTAATCTGCCATGGGCCCCTATATACCGCCTCCTCATGCTGCTGCCAAGTCCAGAGTCTCTCATGGGTCCCTGTACGGCCTCCCATTGCTGCTGTCTCCATCGCCACACTCTGCCATGTGCCACTTTCAGGTCTCTCTCACACTGCTGGTGTTTTCAATTTTTTGACATAGGGTGCTGGCAGATTACGGGCCTCCCATAGCTGCTGCCAGGCCCCTAATCTGCCATGGGCCCCTATATACCGCCTCCTCATGCTGCTGCCAAGTCCAGAGTCTCTCATGGGTCCCTGTACGGCCTCCCATTGCTGCTGTCTCCATCGCCACACTCTGCCATGTGCCACTTTCAGGTCTCCTCACACTGCTGCTGTGTGTTGAATTTTTTGACATAGGGTGCTGGCAGATTACGGGCCTCCCATAGCTGCTGCCAGGCCCCTAATCTGCCATGGGCCCCTATATACCGCCTCCTCATGCTGCTGCCAAGTCCAGAGTCTCTCATGGGTCCCTGTACGGCCTCCCATTGCTGCTGTCTCCATCGCCACACTCTGCCATGTGCCACTTTCAGGTCTCCTCACACACTGCTGCTGTTGTGTTTCATTTTTTTTGATATAGGGTGCTGGCAGATTACGGGCCTCCCATAGCTGCTGCCAGGCCCCTAATCTGCCATGGGCCCCTATATACCGCCTCCTCATGCTGCTGCCAAGTCCAGAGTCTCTCATGGGTCCCTGTACGGCCTCCCATTGCTGCTGTCTCCATCGCCACACACTGCCATGGGCCCCTATACCGCCTCCTCATGCTGCTGCCAGTCCACTCTGCCATGTGCCACTTTCAGGTCTCCTCACACACTGCTGTGTGTGTTGAATTTTTTTGACATAGGGTGCTGGCAGATTACGGGCCTCCCATAGCTGCTGCCAGGCCCCTAATCTGCCATGGGCCCCTATATACCGCCTCCTCATGCTGCTGCCAAGTCCAGAGTCTCTCATGGGTCCCTGTACGGCCTCCCATTGCTGCTGTCTCCATCGCCACACTCTGCCATGTGCCACTTTCAGGTCTCTCACACTGCTGGTGTGTTTTCAATTTTTTGACATAGGGTGCTGGCAGATTACGGGCCTCCCATAGCTGCTGCCAGGCCCCTAATCTGCCATGGGCCCCTATATACCCTCCTCATGCTGCTGCCAAGTCCAGAGTCTCTCATGGGTCCCTGTACGGCCTCCCATTGCTGCTGTCTCCATCGCCACACTCTGCCATGTGCCACTTTCAGGTCTCCTCACACACTGCTGTGTGTTTTCAATTTTTTGACATAGGGTGCTGGCAGATTACGGGCCTCCCATAGCTGCTGCCAGGCCCCTAATCTGCCATGGGCCCCTATATACCGCCCTCCTGCTGCTGCTGCTGAGTCCAGAGTCTCTCATGGGTCCCTGTACGGCCTCCCATTGCTGCTGTCTCCATCGCCACACTCTGCCATGTGCCACTTTCAGGTCTCTCACACACTGCTGTGTGTTGAATTTTTTGACATAGGGTGCTGGCAGATTACGGGCCTCCCATAGCTGCTGCCAGGCCCCTAATCTGCCATGGGGCCCCTATATACCGCCTCCTCATGCTGCTGCCAAGTCCAGAGTCTCTCATGGGTCCCTGTACGGCCTCCCATTGCTGCTGTCTCCATCGCCACACTCTGCCATGTGCCACTTTCAGGTCTCCTCACACTGCTGTTGTGTTGAATTTTTTGACATAGGGTGCTGGCAGATTACGGGCCTCCCATAGCTGCTGCCAGGCCCCTAATCTGCCATGGGCCCCTATATACCGCCTCCTCATGCTGCTGCCAAGTCCAGAGTCTCTCATGGGTCCCTGTACGGCCTCCCATTGCTGCTGTCTCCATCGCCACACTCTGCCATGTGCCACTTTCAGGTCTCCTCACACACTGCTGGTGTGTTGAATTTTTTGACATAGGGTGCTGGCAGATTACGGGCCTCCCATAGCTGCTGCCAGGCCCCTAATCTGCCATGGGCCCCTATATACCGCCTCCTCATGCTGCTGCCAAGTCCAGAGTCTCTCATGGGTCCCTGTACGGCCTCCATTGCTGCTGTCTCCATCGCCACACTCTCTGCCATGTGCCACATTCAGGTCTCTTCACACTGCTGTGTTTTCAATTTTTTGACATAGGGTGCTGGCAGATTACGGGCCTCCCATAGCTGCTGCCAGGCCCCTAATCTGCCATGGGCCCCTATATACCGCCTCCTCATGCTGCTGCCAAGTCCAGAGTCTCTCATGGGTCCCTGTACGGCCTCCCATTGCTGCTGTTTCCATCGCCACACTCTGCCATGTGCCACATTCAGGTCTCTTCACACTGCTGGTGTGTTGAATTTTTTGACATAGGGTGCTGGCAGATTACGGGCCTCCCATAGCTGCTGCTGCCAGGCCCCTAATCTGCCATGGGCCCCTATATACCGCCTCCTCATGCTGCTGCCAAGTCCAGAGTCTCTCATGGGTCCCTGTACGGCCTCCCATTGCTGCTGCCAGGAGGCAGCAGGGTCGCAGCAGTGTCAGTGGAGGCAAACGGCCAGAGTAGAGCACCAGCTCCACTGCAGCCTACCACCACGGCCAGTAGTGGTGCCGCCGGTGTGCGGAGGAAGTAGCAGTCAGCCAGTGAGGAGTAGCGGAGGCAAAGTTTCCTACTCTGCGGTGTGGCAATTTTTCGTCAAGCCGCCGCCCGAGGAAGTAAACGTAGCCGTATGTCGACTATGTGGCCAGAAAGTCAAGCGTGGCCAGGGGGCCCATGTTGGGACTACAGCGTTGCGTCAGCATATGCAGCGTCGCCATTCGGTGGCCTGGGAAAAAACCGTGATAAAGATACGGCGGTTCTGCCTGCCCCAGCCCAGGGTTCCATTTTGTCATAGGGTGCTGGCAGATTACAGGCCTCCCATAGGTGCTGCCAGGCCCCAAATCTGCCATGGGCCCCCGTACCGCCTGGTCACGCTGCTGCTGGGCCCACAGTGTGACCTGGGTCCCTGTACCGCCTCCCATTGCTCCCACTCTGCCCATGTGCCACTTTCAGGTCTCCTCACACTCCTGCTGGTTTCCATTTTGTCATAGGTTGCTGTATGGCCTCCCATTGCTGCTGCCTCCACCGCCACACTGTGGCTCCAAACACTGGTTTTGGCCCCGTGACTGGCCAAATGAGTGAAGTGTGCGGTGATTCTAAGATCGACGGCACTCATCTGCATGTCATACTGAGTGACAGTATTATTTCTCTTCCCCAGCAGACTCCAAGGGCATTTAAATTAAAGGTACAGTGTTCTGCACTAATATTAAGTCTCTCTGAAGCCTAGAAACACCCTTTTTTAAGTTAAATTCACAGCGAATTTATTCGACTCGAATCGAATATTGTCCACGAATTCGCCGAATCAGTCGAATCGAATTTTTCATTTCTTCATGCAAAATGATACATAAATGAAGTTTACATCCTTTTTTTCCCCACAAATTGAGCTTTCTTTCGGTGGTATTTGATTGCCTGTGCGGTTTTTATTTTTTGCACTATAAAAAAAAAGGCTGACAATTTTGAGGAAAAAAAACAATATTTTGGACTTTTTGCTATAAAACATGTCCAGTAAAAAAAATTTAAAAATCAAATTTAGTCATAAATTTCTTCCAAAATGTATTCTGCGACATGTCTTTGCTAAAAAAAAAAACCCAATACGTGTAAATTAATTGGTTTACGTGAAATTTATAGCGTTTACAAATGGCGGGAAAGATACTGGGATTTTTATTTTTTTTTTATACTAATAATGGCGGCGATCAGCGACTTATGGCTGCGATCAGTGACTTATGGCGGCGATCAGCGACTTATGGCGGGACTGTGGCGGACATTCTGCCGCCGTATTTCTACAATGGCTGGGCGGCATGTGGTTAAAATGGTGGGTGGTGGAAAGGGTCTATCAAAATTCAAGGGGAGGCAATTTTAAAAAATAACTGAAATCAATTACTTCCTGTAACCATCAATGAGTTTCTTACACCTCTCTACTGGAATTTTGGACCACTCTTCTTTTCTTCTTTCACCAACTGCTCCAGGTCTCTCACATTGGAAGGGTTCCTTTTCCCAACTGCTGGTGCTCTATGGGACTGAGATTTATTTATTTATTTATTTATTTATTTATTTATTTATCGAGTTTATATAGCGCCAAAGGGTTTGCTCAGCGCTGTACAATAGAGGGGGGACAATACATGAAACAGAACAGTAACATCAAATAGTACACAAGGGGTAAGAGGGCCCTACTCTTTCGAGCTTACAATCTAGGAGGGAGGGGGTAGAGGCACAGGAGGAAACGGCTGTGGGGGATGGAGTGGTAGGAGAAGGGAAGGGCAGCGGCTGTTAGGTGAGGGTGGGGTAGGCTTCCCTGAAGAGGTGGGTTTTCAGGGAGCGCCTGAAGGTGAGGAGGGAAGGTGACAGTCTGATGGATTGGGGTAGTGAGTTCCAGAGGATGGGGGAGGACCTGGAGAAGTCTGGACTCTTTGCTGGCCAGTTCAGTACTCTCCAGCGCTTTGTCTGAAACCATTTCTGGATGATTTTTGACGCTTGGGGTCATTGTTCTGCTGTAAGATCCATGACCTCTGACGGAGACCCAACTTTCTGACACTGGGCCCTACATTGCACCCCAGAATTCTTTGGTAGTCTTTGGATTTCATAATGCCATACACACGATCAAGACATCCAGTGCCTGAAGCAGCAAAGCAGCCCCAAAACATCAGGGAACCTCCACCATGTTTGACTGTAGGGACTGTATTCTTTACTTTAAAGGCCTCATTACTTTTTCTGAAAACACTAGAACGATGGGATTTATAAAACAAAACTGTAATTTTGTTTCATCTGTCCACAGCACATTCTTCCAAAAGGATTTTGGCTTCCTTAGGTAAGTTTTGGCAAATGCCAATCAGACTTTTTTTATCTGCTTGCTCGTACATCCCTTACAGCAAGGAAATATTCTTACAGGGCTGCAGGAGACCTGCATGGCATCAGCGATCTGCTGCTGGCTGACTAATGCTTTTCAGGCTCCTATAGACAAAAATAATAAATGCACATTTTTTTACCTGAAAAAATGTGCATTTATTATTTTTGTCCAAAAGGTGAACTTATCCTTTAAGCTTAGCTAAAGAGGTAATCCAAAGACAAACAAACTAAACCAGTGCTCAAATCTTCATGCAGACTAATAGGATTTCAGAATGTCAACCGAGGAGGTGCAGATTGGGAAATCTAAATACTGATGAACAAAAGCAAACAAGGGCGCACTCTCATTGTGCATTACCGTGGTACACCACGTATTTGTAAACAAATAGATGTATACTCACAAACCTAAGGAAATTAAAATCAGAATATGTAGTCCTTAATGGCAGGCAATACAATGCTGTGCCCCAATTAGGGATAAGCTGACACGTTTTGGGAGATGAACCCTCTTCTTCAGAGAGCTCTGGAGAAGGGGGTTTGTCTCTTGAAACGCGTCAGCTTATCCCTAATTGGGGCACAGCATTGTATTGCCTGCCATTGTGGACTACATATTCTGCTTTTAATTTCTTTTGGTTTGTGAGTATACATCTATTTGTTTACACAACAAATACGTGGTGTACCACGGTAAAGTTATCTAAAGAGGTCCATGAAGGTACAAGGTGTATCTAAAGAATTGGGCCTGTAAAATCAATTAATGTATACCTGTGCAAAGTGAATGGCTCACTTTTAAATACAAACTGGCGCATAATGCTGAATCTCGCGTGACCGTGGCCCTGTCTGCATATTCACCTATTTGCAATACATTCCGTGCTGTGGTTTAACTCATTGCGGTATTACTGCTGTCTCATAATTTTCTTGCAATTTGGTTACTGCATATACACTTACGATAAATAATCCCCACCCAGCCAGAGTGTGTGTGCCGCTGTCTGTAGTCAATGGCACAGGAAGAGGCAATCTGAAAAACAGTGGCACCTTTGGGGGTAAGGGATATATACACTCACCAGCCACTTTATTAAGTATACCTTGCTAGTACCGGGTTTGGACCCCTTTTTTTGCCTTCAGAACTGCCTTAATTCTTCATGGCATAGATTCAACAAGGTGTTGGAAAACTTCCTCAGAGATCTTGGTCCATATTGACATGAATTACTGAACTCACCTGACTGGGGCACTTACAACAGCTGGAGTGGAGAGTCAGCAGTGTGTAGGCCTAAGCAGAAGATAGCACCTGTCAAGGGGAGTGTAATGCAGCTTGGCCAGTCCAACCCAAAAGGAAGCTTCCTGAAGTCATGCCCCACGTATGCGCAGTTGAGGCGAGGTGGCCATTTTAGGCACCCAGTTCAGAAACACCATGTCAAACAATTTTGAGCCTACCTCTGAGGCAGCCAGTTGTACCGGTGAAACCAATAAGGATTGGGTTGTTACCACACTGCCAGGCCCCCAGGGAACTCTTAATGGATCTCCAAATTGTCAGGGAGCGAGGAGCCAGACACACAAGGAGGTGCAATTAAAGGTAGGTTTATTATACAAAAACAAGACAGAGTCTATGCAAGTCCAACAGCAACAGCGGATGACTTGGTAAAACAGTAGCCAGGAAGGATGGTCGCCAGAGCCGGGGTCAGAAGCCAGGAAGGATGATCGCCAGAGCCGGAGTCAGAAGCCAGGAAGGATGGTTGCCAGAGCCGGGGTCAGAAGCCAGGAAGGATGGTCGCCAGAGCCAGGGTAAGAAGTCAGGAAGGAGTCTTGCCAAAGCAGAGTCGGTATCCAGGAGAGCAATGAGGAACTAAACAGGAGCTTGCTGCTGTGCAACAGACAGTACAAGAATGCAATGGACAGCTACAAACAGCAGACTTATATGTGATAAGCCGCCACCTCCTGGGGGAGGAGCCTCAGAGGGCTGAAAGCATAAAGGATTCCACAATGCTTTGCAGACACCTAAGATGGATGCCAGCACATGGAGCAGCACAAGCCCTGAGGAAAGGTAGGACCTTGACACAAATATGATAAGTACTACAACTCTACTTTAATTGCTCCTTTGATGCTTTAACTTCACTATCTTTGGAAAAGAAACCTTTTTGCTGGTCTACTGCTATACATTCAAAGGGACTGCCTATATTGTTCTTGCTTTACTCTGCCTAAAAACATAACTCTGCTAAGTTTGGAAGAGACTTCTCTACTGATGAATATTATGCATTTAAAGGGACTGCCTTATTATTATGCATTTAAAGGGACTGCCTTATTATTATGCATTTAAAGGGACTGCCTCACTCTTATTCAACTTTGCATACAATAGGTCTGCTTCAAATGCTCCTTTGATGCTTTAACCTCACTATATTTGGAAAAGGAATTTCTTTACTGGTTTGCTGAAATGCATTTAATGGGGCTGCCATTACTGTCATTGCTTAACTCTATCTAAGAGTATTATTCTGTTAAAATTTGGAAGAGACCTCTCTGCGAATGAGCATTACATACCAAAAAGGGATTGCCTCATTGTTATTAAACTCTGCATAATACATGATTCTTACTCCTTCACTTTATCAAATTTGGAGAAGTTCCATTACCAAGATCACCAAATTAAATCAAGAATTTGATAGAGATGGGCCCCGGACAAGGATGTTATCCATTAATATATGAGGGAGTTTTTCTGATTTATGTTCTCCCCTGGATGGCGGCCCAATATTAGGTGCCAGGGGGAGGTGTAGGCCTTCATGCTTATACTGCTACATTATAAACTGTATCCTCCTCTGGACTACATGTGTTTGTTGATGCATTATCTGGGACTGCCTATTTTCATCCATAACATGACATGCTCGATTGTCAGTTTAGTGTAAGAGGGAGACTCATACAGTCTACAGTACCCTCCTCTAGATTACACTACTTCATTATCTATGTGATTTTCACTATATTTTCTATCCACGGTGATCCTGTTTGGTAGAGGCATTACATATGATACAGAGCATGTTCCCTTTAAGGAGGTCTGTGAATGACCAGGCTTTGTAATTTTGTATATGGAGCATATGCATTATTCATGCAGAAAGATATTATTGTTGCCAACTGATCTGTTTATTGATGGGTACTCCCTTTCGGGAGTTGTGATCCGGGACCTGTGGAGTGTGGTATGATTTTTTCTGTTTTTAGAAATGTCTATGTTGAATAAATAAATGATTGTGTGCCACTGACCACCAGCCCTTTTTGAATTATTGTTTTTTTCAATATGAATACATTTAAACAAACCCA